AATCAGTCCATGAAGCTAAGTCACAGGTTAATGGTTTCTTAGTGAATATTCTGGAAGTAGTGATCCAAAGGCTGTTTGTGAATGAACAACATTATGATGCATTCCAACTCCTCCACCTTCAGTTCCACCATACCAAGCCAAAGTTAGCTTTCATTTTGAAGTATGTTGCCTTCGGCAACAAGATGGCTGCCCAGGCTTTCCCATCACCTCCTCTGGTGTCAAAGGTTGTAGTGACAGTGACTGTGGTAGGAAGAATCAAAAGAAGACATCCGAGTTCCTTGATACTCATTCCTGTTTATCAGGAAGGAAGATTTTCATAGAAGTTATTCTCATTTGCAGCAGATTGTAGATCTGACCTGATTGATTTAGCTGGAACATAATTTAACCCCTATTCCTGGCATGGGAAACTAAATACTCTTTGTTGCTTGTCTTCAGTTAATGGTGCTGGTCTACAGGGGCAAAGGTAGGCTTAGTTTTCTAAACATCCTTTACTTCTCCCTTCTCTCCCTCCAAAATACAATTTATAAACCATAGGAAAAGTAGGATAGCAATAATAATATTGGCCATAATTATCATGGAGATAACCCTCCTCAACAAGCTTGAGGCAGGACATAGTGGCATCTTCCCCCTTTGCTTACTAAATTTAACCAAATTCAAACCTTGGAAAATCTGATGAATACAGCATTGGTTCTTCTAAACAACTGCCATTTAATAAAATTCTATGGTTTAGATAATATGTAAGTAAAAATTCAGTGTTTTCAACTTCTCACATAGTAAAAATACATTTTTTTTTACAAAAGTGAGTAGGCCTCCTTTAGTAATTGGTAATAACATGCTCTGTTTTCAGTACTTCAGTCCAGTAGAAATTGTACTTATTCATTTCTGCTATTTATACACCACTTTCTCCACATAGCTATGGTGTCAGTGATCTTGCTAGGTTTTATTTTTATTGAAAGCACCTGTTAGCATACTCTACATAGTATGAAAGAAATTGTACTGAAAAATATAAGCAAAGATATGATAGGGAATTTGCTTTTTACTTTTAATTTTTTGTTCCTTTTTGTTTGTTTTTTTTTAAATGGACATTAAATCAGGAGTCAAAATTGGCATAGGGTTGGGCATAGAGGTACAAGCCTGTAATTCTAGCTACATATAGATAGCAGATCATAGTGCAGGATCCGACCTCAAGAACCAACTAAAGGCAAGAGGACTGGAGGCACTGTTTACTTATCCAATGAAATGTCCCCAAGGTTTTCAATTTTGAATGCCTTTCAGTGGACTTGTATTCCACAGTTTGTCATAGCCCTCTCCAGTCCAGTCTTCTTACAGTATCCATGACAATTATATAGTTGTTGTATTTTCCCATGCACTTGAATATGTTAATCCCTACTTCATGAGAATAAACCAAAATGTTAAAAATGAGTAATTCTTTCCTAGTTGTGGGAAATATTTGGCTGGTTTCCAAAAGAACTTCCAAACTGAATAATGTACTCTTCTCCAAGACAACTGAGTTTTTGGCATGTTGCCTTAAAAACTTTCATTGACCTTTTCTTAGTAATAGACTTCTAAATAAGGCCCTTCAATTTGGTATTATGGTTTTTTTTAATTTGACTAAGTTGTGTTTTGGTCACATTGAGTAATTCTACATAATCAAATTGTACATACGTTATACTTAAATATTCACAACTATGCCATTTAAAATGTATTTCAGAGGACTAAAATACTTAAGAAAAATAATTAATAAGGATATATATACACACATATATAGTTCCCACATTTCCTTTTAAAAACATTAGAACAACACTTCATGCATTCTATGTTTTCTACATAGTTAAAAAAAAAAACCACACAGTCTCACTAAGAGAAACTGTTACTCATTATCTAGGGCATTAAATCTCTGCGACCACCCTCTTTTCTTAACAAATTTGACCTTCCTAATGTCAAAGCATTTCTATTTAATACTTCAGGAAATAGTTCCATAGTAATTTAATTACATGGAAGAATCTATTCTTATCTATTTTTCATGTGAGCACTAACTCATAGGCTGTTTTTATACACTGGGTTTACCAGTAATTGAGACTAAGGATTTTTCAGTCAAAATAACTGCTGATACCTATGTTCCTAGTCACTGTTTTCCTATAGTTTGCTATTTTTTAAAAGTGTTTCCTATAGTTTCCCATAGCTTGCTATTTTGATGCTGTAATTATTGCTTCTGCTGTTATCATTATTATTATCATATTATTTATTGAAAGGTTTTGAATCAAGATAACTAGCTGGCCTTTAACTCAGGATCCTTCTGCCTCTGTTTCTGAGTGGTGGGAATAGAGGTGTTTGTGCCACACTTAGCTTTGCTGATTCTTGTAATCCTGTAATATCCATCTTCCTTACTGCCAATCTTAGTCTAGTATGCTTGCATTTTCTGCCACTTGCTTTTAGAAAGATAAACAGGCACTAATTTGTAAAGGTCATGGGGAGTGATGAATGCAGTATGATTGCTTGAGGACTTGTCACTTCAACATTTCTTCCTTAGGTTTTTTTTTCCTTAAAATCTTCACTGCCACACTGTTACTGTGACAGTCATGATAAAGCTAGTTGAAATATATTTGTGAAATATAAAGTAAAGCAGTATAAATATACAGATTAGCACAAATGTCTCTTAAGTTGTTTACAACCCTATGCACTGAAATTGTCCAGGGAGCTTTTGAAATTGCTTATATTCTAATTGACTTGGTGTGAAGCCTGGACATGATAATTTTTAACTAAGTGTCCCAGATGATTTTAGACTACACCAATGTTGAGAAGTTCTTGTTCCTAATCTTGATTTAACCAGATTATCAGCTCTTAACGTTAATGCTCAAATTCATGGATAAATTAAAATAATAAAGACTCTACAATCTGGACATGGATATGTACTCTACAATCCTAGGTATGTGAGAAGCATAGATAAGCGAATCATAGATTGAAGCTGGCCCTTTATTAAAGAAAAATGTGACTGCATTATAAAACAGAAAGGACTAGAGCTGGCCCAAGTGAGAGAGCCCTTACCTAATAAATTCGAGACCCTGAATTAACATCTGAGACTCTACTATTCACTAAAAAAAAGTAATATAAATATATACTCTCTCAAGTTCTGAAAATTCAAGTCAACTTGCATGGAACTCAATTATGTTTTTGAGTCTTGATTTTAATGTGAAATCAAGGTTATGAATTATTGCTTGAGAACCAAAGTGTTTTAACATTACAGCATAGGGAAGAATGATGCTGCCATTATATTTTCACTTTTTTTATATAGCAAATCTTTGGTTATCAGAAAAATTCACAGGCAAAAATTCAGTTTTACAACTTCAGTTAATTAATTTTGTTTTGAAAATTATTTGTAGTAGCAGTGATTAGAAGTAAACTGAAAAATATTAAAATATTAAAGAGTGTGTTTGAGCAGTCAGTGATTCATGCATCAAGTTCTTACAGATGTCCAGGAACACCAAAAAATGGGGCCAAGGAGGAGACTTTTATTAGGGTGAAGACAGATCAACGAAAATAAAATCTTTAATGACAGCTGCAGCATCCAAATCCTCTTTTGTTTTCGGCAGTTAGTGGACAGTTCTGACTAACAAATGTTGTATCAATGGGTTGCCCTGAACTGGGTTCCTGTAGAGTACTAGAGCTGTCTTCCTGAATGTAATTAATGGAATTTCTTAAGAAAGGCTCTAGACGTTTTATGTGTGAGTAGTTTGAGTTTTTTTCCTCCTGTGATGAAATTATTTTATTATTTTTAATCTAAGATTCAGAAACTTTAGTTGCTCTGAGAAAGTCCCTGTTGAGAAAGTGTTGCCATATTGGTTGGGTTAATAATGACTTTGGATCTATTATGTTTACTGTTCTAATATAAAAGAATGTCTTCCACACAGCTTTTGTTCATCAAGGAAAGGCACGATCTCAGCCCTAGCTTCCATAGCACATGTAAGAATGCGGGCCCTTCACTATTTATACCAAGGTAGAAAGGGATTTAATTACTTTGACAATGCCAATGTGCCAGCCAAAACAGGAGTCATATTCAGTGTACATTACATATAAAAATATGACCCACAGTATGTAACTGGAGGGCAGGGGCAGGACGGGAATGGGAGGGATGAAAGAAGGGGGTGACATTGATCAAGAAGCACTGTACTCATAACTCGAATTATGGGATTGTAATGTCTTTCTTCAACTACATCATCATCATAATAATAGATTCGTTTGTGTGTGACAAAGAGGGGTGGTATAAGCCTCACGGAGACCAGCCACGCATGCGTGCACCTGCGTGCAGGTGTAGGTAGGGCATACAGTGACACAGCATCGTGGTGGTCACATAATGACAAGCTGGCTTGTTCTGAGGAGGCGCCCTACCGCGCAGGCGCCCTACCGCGCAGGCGCCCTACCGCGCAGGCGCCCTACCGCGCAGGCGCCCTACCGCGCAGGCGCCCTACC